AATACAGTAATCAACTTAATAGAAACAAATGAACAGTTTTAATACTTACTTACCAATTATTGGGGTACTACCAAACTTAACCACCACTCTGTCAGTTTGTCATACTGTGGTGGCTTGTGAGTTGCTGTGATTCTGGAAGCTGTGCCACTGGTATTTTAAATACTAGCAGGGTCACACATGGTGGACAGGTTTCAGATGAGTTTCCAGAAGAAGACAGACTAGAAAGAAAGAGTGATGAACTACTTCTGAATATTTAGTCACTGAAAACTGAATGAATAGCAGAGAAAAACTGTTAGATATAGTGCCGGAAAATGAGCCCCTCAGGTTGGAAGATGGATTGGCAAAGTGGCAGCATCAATGGGCTCAAGCGTGGCAACAATTTTGAGGTTGACCCAGGATCAGGCAGTGTTTTCGTTCTCTTGTGCATAGGGTCGCTATGATTTGGTACTGACTCGATGGCACCTAACACCACCACCACCACCAAACCTAAAGCATGATTTCTTGACCATGACTTAAAACTTTGTTATACAAGTATGATCAAAAGTAACATTTTCTGACTAGTGAATGAGGGTGGAATTCACTAAAGAAATGTCATAAGACATGCAATGTATGCCAGAACTTTAAAAAACTTAATTTCATCATTTTTGCATGTTACGTGTATGCATGTTATTTACATGGGTGTGCTATTTGTGAAATGTGGGATACCTTCAGGGTTAGAGCAGGTAATCCACATGCTAAAATTCCTCACTCTTATGCCGCTAAATATGGTATGGTCATAATTTTTTTAGCATGGGTGGATTTTTTCAGTTACGTAACAGAAATAGAACATGACCATCCCCACCTATATGACATCATGACTCCTGAGAGCTGTGTGTGTGTGTGTGCGCGCGCGCGCGCGCACGCACATGCATGCACGTGTGTCTCAGAGCATGGGCTCTGGACCACACTGTTTTTGGTGGTGTTAGGTGCAGTCGAGTCAGGTCCAACTCATAGCAACCCTGTTTAGGGTTTCCCAGGAGTGGCTGGTGAGCGTATGTTTAAAATCAGAACCCTTAGTCATCCTGTGACTGTCAGGTAGCTATTCACCATCCCTGTGTCTGAGTTTCCACAGCCACTAAAAGGGGATATTAAGAGAACCTCCTTCAGAGTTGTAAGGATTGAAAGAATTAATATGTATGAACTCCTCAGCACGGCACCTGTTACATGGTGGTTGCTCAGTAAGTACTCCTGGTATTTTTATCCTTTAGTTCATTTCTTCTTTTCTGTGAAGATTTAGCACTTTTGGTATTACACACCACCATTATCAGTGAGACCCTGGTGGCACAAACCGTTAAGTGCTCAGTTACTACCAGAAACACTGGTAGTTTGAACCCACCTAGAGAAACCTCAGAAGCCTGCTTCCAGAAAGTCAGAGTCATTGAAAACACTGTGGAATGTAGTTCTACTTGGAAACACTAGGGGTTGCTGTGAGTTGACTCAGTGGCACCTGGTTTTGGTTTAAAGTACTATTGTGTACTATGTAACCTTGTAAAAAACAAAAAAATTTTTTTCCTGATGTTTAACAAACATGCTGTTATTTCTGCCAGATTAAAAAATAACAACAAAATCACTCTTAAGCCCACATTTTCTCTTAGTTATTATACATCTATTTCTTTTGTTCTCCTTTATAGCAGAATTGCTTCAAAGACTTTTCTATATTTGCTTCCCTTGATTCTTCTTGCTTTTCTCTCTCATAATCTGATCCATTCAGTCTTTTGTCTTTGTCATTCGAGGGAGGCTGCTCTTGTCCAAGTGTTCAGTGACCTTCATTTCTAAGTTCAATGTCAATTCTTATAGTACATCTAACTTGAATCATTTCTTTATTGGTTTCCAGTACTCTTCACTTCTGCAGATTTCTTCCTGCCTCACCTACTCTCACTCTGTTGTTGATTCCTCTCATGTCTTCAGCCTCTTGATTTGGGCTCTGCAGAACTCGGTCCTTGTACCTCTTCTTTAGCTACACATTTCCTATGTAATCTCGCCCTATCTCCTGGCTTCAGTATCATGTGTTCACTGATGACTACATCTAACCCAGACCTCTCCTGAACTGCTAGACATTTGCACTTGGATTTCTAGCAGACATTTTAAACTTTTAACATGTTCCACTCTAAACTTCTACTCCCTGCCCCTAAGTCACTTCTATTTCGTGGGAACCTCATTCTTTCTGTTCTTCAGGCCAAAAGCCTTAAAGCAGTTCTTGACACCTTTCTTTCCCCTATATCTATCCTAAATGTCAGGCTACAGTGAAACCTATGAAAGCTGGAACCTGTGTAAGGCAGAAAATGGACAGAAACAAACTCAGATATTTTCCACTAAAAGGAGAGACGGAAAAGTGGTAAGACTGCATTCTGTCAAAGGAAAAGCAAGGTGGTCTGTTTGAATTCCGGCACTCACAGATTTCACTGTACATAAAGAATCTGACTAACTTCTTGTCGCCTTCATCACTACCAAATGAAATAAGCCAGCGCCATCTATCCCCTCCATTATTTCTTTTCGCCTCCGGCTTCTGCGCATGTCCTTCCTCTTCCCTCATTCTAGCTTCAATTCATCTGTCAGTGAGCCAAGCATATTTCAGGTCATTCTTGCTTGTGTGTGTTTTAAAGCTATTAGACCCAATATCACGCAATTCACAAGAAAAGCTTTAAAAAAAAAAAGCTCTTATAGTTGTTACACGAGTCTTAGTCTATCTATTATTTCTCTACCTTCATATCTGTTTCATTTCCCAGAAACACCAAGCATGCTTCTGATCCTTGGTGTTTGTACATGTTCTTTCCTTTGACAAGAATGATCTTTCCCCAGTTATTTGCACGATTCATTTCCTAACATATGACTACCTTTTATTGTTGTTGTTTTTTTAAATTTTACACTCAACAATTCATACACGTTTTGTTTCATGTCATTGATTACAAGCCCCACAATGTGACATTACTGTTCTGCTTCCTTCCTGTGTTTCCTGTTGCCATTCCTCCTTCCTAATCCTTCTGAACTTTGTTTTTGGATAAATGTTATCCTTTTGCTCTCCACTTGTTCCCTTTATAAACTTGTCTATTGTATGACTTAACATTGAGCCACAGGGTTGAGTGCAGTTCCAGACTTCAAAGGTGACTAAAGGTCAGCGTCTCGTTGGGTGGATGATGTCCACCAGTCTGTATCTGACCAGTAAGCCTGGTCTCTTAAGATTTTGATTTTTATTCCACAACATTTTCTACCTCTTGAAGTCTTTGCTCACGTATTACTTTCAGAGTGAGGCCTTTCTTGATCATCCTATTAAGATGCAACCTCAGCCTGCCCTATCCCTTTTCTGCATTATTTTTCTCTGAATACTTATCACCTTCTGCAAGGATTTCACAAGTTTCAGTATTTGCCAAGGACTCAAAAGACTCCACTAACTTCAGGCTTTTATTTAAAGACGAAGGGCACACTACAGCAAGAAAAAGAATGCAGACAAGCATTGTGGGCCCAAAAGATAGTCAGCATGAGCTCCCAGAACTGTGCCGGAAGGTATCTTCTGGAAACGGTCAAGGCAGAAGTTCCCAAGGAATATTTTAGTCCTGGTATGGTGCTGTAGGATAAGCACTGGACTATTAACCTCAAGGTCCGTAGTTCAAACTCACCAGCCACTACTTGGAAACTATACAGGGTCACTGTGAGTCACAACTAACTCAACAATACTTAACAACAACAACTAGCCATAAAATCAAGCCTTACGTTCTAACTGGCTGTCCAGGTTGCAAACCATCTGCATCTGAGGTTGCCAGAGACTTCCAGTTCAACTTTGTTGTTGTTAGTTGTCAATGATTAGATTCTGACTCAGTGGTGATCCATTGTGAGAATAGAACTGCTCCATTCTAAGGCACCTCTAAGGCAAAAAATACCCAAAGCCAGTGCCAATGAGTTGATTCTGGCTCCTAGTGACCCAGTAGGACAGAGCAGAACTGCTCCATTGGGTATCCGAGACCATGAGTCTTTATGAAAAGAGACAGCCTCAGCTTTCTCTCATAAAGTGACTGATGGATTTCAGCCACCGACTGTGGGGTTAGCAGCCCAGTGCTTAGCCCACTGTTCCATCAGGGTTCCAATCACCAACTTTTCAGTTACTATCTGGGAACTTAACTGTTTGTGCCACTCAGGCTCTCAAAAGTGCTAGTGGGTAAATCTTAGACTTCTTCCTAGACAGAACCCTCCACCTCTAAGACATGTAACTGCCACTTTCTACTGACTCAACTCCATGAGGACAGTAGTGTTTTGCTATTTTGTTTACTGTTGCATTCTCAGTTCCTACAGTAGTGTTTGGCACATAGTGTGTGCTCAGTAAATATTTGTTGAATAAGTTATTTCATAAATGGCATTTGTCTCTCCAACTATATAACTACTAGAAGAGCCTTGTGAGCAGGAACCATTTAAAAAAAAAAAAAGGAACCTCTTATATCCTCACAGTCCCTGAATTATGGTCAGCAAACACTCAATATGTGACAGTTAATAAAATTGGATCTTCAAGGCCCACTATTTCAGATACTATTTTATAGGGTCTTCTACCTGTTTTGCATCCAGAAGGCCAGGAATGATAAAAAGCAATGTAATAAATATTTCAAGCTCCTTAATGAAGAGTGCATTTTATTTCAAACTGTTTTACTGAAGTATAACACTCATGGTAGACTGGTTCGTTCTTTTCTTCTCTGTTGTCCGACAGAATGTTTTTCAGTGGTATAGAACATTTTGGCAGCAGGTAATTTGATTTTGCTCATAGCCAGTATGTTTTTATTTTTTAGAGTACATTTCTGAAATTTTAATGTAAGTCAATGTGAACATTTGATTTCTACATCAGTCTCTTAGGAGCTAAAACTATATTTAAGTTTTCTTTTTAAAATGAGAAGCATATCTTAATCGATATTAGCTCATTACTTTATATTTACATAACTGGAATCAGCTACATGTTTGTGATTTATTTTGTTATAATCTAGGTGCGTTCTTTCAGAGAAAGGAGACAAAGGAATACTAATGAAGAAGATGATGAAGTTCGAGAGGTAATTTTTCTGTTGTAAATTCCTGTGTTGATATGTCAGTGTGTTGAAATAGAATAACTAGTAGACTCTATTAGATTTATTTAGAGTAGTCCTGGTGTGCTGCTGCAGAATAAGTACTAGACTGCAAGGTAGATGGTTCAAACTCAACAGCCACTCCCCGGTAACTGAATACAGGGTCACTATGAGTTGGAACCAACTTGATGACACTTAACAACACTTAGATTTACTGTGTGGGAAGATAGGAGTTAGATAAGGAAATGGGGGAGGACTAAAAACAAGAGCCCTAACTCTTCAAAATAATAAATAATTATTATTAAAGCATCTTTTCAGTATAAGATAAAACCTTATTCTACTTAGTTTATCATTTATAAAAAAACTTTCAAGTTCTTTTATAAATGGGGAAGTCCTAGTGTGGCGCTATAGGATAAGCTCTGCACCAGAAGGTCATTTAATCACAAGGTCGGTGGTTCAGACTCACCAGTCACTCCTCAGAAACCCTATACAGGGTCATTATGAGTCAAAACCATCTTGATGTCACTTAACAACAACATTCCTAACCTACAGTAGGCATCAGGTCAGCTGAGCAAAATCTTGACAATAAATCATTTATAAAACAACTTTTAAGTACTAGATTGTTGTTGTTCATAAAACACTAAGGACAATTCAAAAATAGCAAAATAATGTGTGTCAATGAAGGATAAGCACTGGACTGGACTGCTAACCACAAGGTCGGTGGTTCAAACCTACCAGCTGCTCCTTGGAAACCCTTTATAGGGTTGCTGTGAATTGAAACTGACTTGATGGCACTCAACAGCAACAACGGCTTAGTTAATACTATTTTGGGCAAAAAAAAAGAAGAAATGTAGGGTTTGGTTAGCGATTTTATGATGGCTAAAAATGATACATTTCCTTTTAGAAATGTTGAAATTAGCTTGAGCTCCCCCATCACTGCCTTTCCATTCTCTTGGTAATTTAGGAGCTTCAGGTTGTTGGTGTTAAGTGTTGTCAAGACAGTTCAGATTCATAGGGACCCTTTAAAGGGTTTCCAAGGAGTAGCTTTATAGGGTTCCCAAGGAAAATCTGGTGGGTTTGAACTGCTGACCTTGCATTTAGCAGTTCAGTGCTTATCCTGAAGCATTCTCCCTTCACCCCCCAGGACTTCATGGATTTAGGGATACAAATGTGAAAAAGGGCATTCACTGATCGTTATGTCTAGAAGCTTTAGCATGGGAGTCAGTCTTGCTGTGTTTATATGTGATCTATGTCCACAAAGGAGTCTTAGTTCAGGAGGTGAGACAGATTTGTATAAAGAAAACATTAAACCTTTTCATGACTGGAAGTTTCCCACTGTGAATTAGAACAAGTGTCCTAATTAGAACAATTGTCATTCTCAATATTTCTGAACAGTGATGAACAGTTAGTAAGTCAAAAGGCATTGAAGCACATCCCTCAGATTAACTTGACAAGTTGTACTATTTTCTTGTAACTAATAAAGGAGTTAATAGGAACCCTCTTCACCTTTCAAATGATCATTTTGGTCACAATTTAAGTACAGTCCTTGTTGTTAGTACCATCGAGTCAGTTTAGACTCATAGCGGCCCTGTATTAGGGTTTCCAAGGGTCAACTGGTGGAAGAAAAACCCCTTGTTTAAGGCGATGTGAACTCTCAATTGAGTTTCTTTTCCTCTGAATTCTTCCAAATAAATCTGTGTTCAGGAGTTGATCTGTTGATGATTGTTGTTGTTAAGTGCCATTGAGTCTATTCCGACCCATAGCAACCCTGTACAGGGTTTCCAAGGAGTGGCTGGTGAATTTGAACTGCCGACTTTGCGGTTCAAACGACTGCAGTACAGCGCATTAGCCTACAGCGCCACCCCAGGATTCCTATTGATGATTACTATGTGATAACACATCCTTTAATATCAAAGGTACTTTCAGACCTTGACATAGGGGAAAAAAATTAGTTGTTAAATTTTTTTTTCTATACTATCTCTAGAGATTGTGAGAAAGCTAAAAATCTTCCTTTTGTTTTTTAATAAAGCCTCCAAGTGTATTTTTTATTTGTTTCATTATTTCTCATTTCATACTAGCTATTTGAGGTTTTTGGACCCAATTACATAATGCCATATAACCTGGAATTTTAGGGGTTACAAAGATAACATTTTAGGTTTTTTGTTTTTTTTCCATTCCTTTGTCTTATTACAAAAGTTTGATATTTTGTGCTTAAGAGAGAAATAAAATTATCCTTCTCCAAATTATGTCCCAGTTTATTAAAATCTGTATAAATGATACAATATAACCTGTAAGAGCTAGAATTGGTGTAAGGAGGGCAGAGACCTGTCTAAGAAGGAAAATTAAAAAGCGGTGAAGCTGCACCTTGTCAAAGGTGGAAAACTTGTGAGACCTGGAACAAAAAGGCAGCCCGGTTGAGCTCCAGCTCTCAGTTAATAGCCTTTCCCTGAAAAGAATACCCAGGTGCCTACTTTTAAGTTTCACAGATTTCTTCCCTTATACGACTTAGACTATCTCCATGGAGTAAGATAGGATATTTCACAACATTAACTAAAATTATTAGCACCAGTAGTAATGAGTTTTTTGGCTTTTAAAATTTTATTCCCCACCCCCCCCACTGTGCCTCTTTATTACTTCCTTTTAGTACAGAACTAGGAGTCCTCGTGACACAGATGTTAAGTGCTACTAACTGAAAGATTGGCAGTGCATCTCTACCAAGAGGCACCGTGGAAGACAGATGTGGCAGCTTTCCTTCTGAGAAGTCAGCCATTGGAAATCCTGTGCAGCACAGATTTGATTGCTAAGCACTATGCACCCTGCACTTGTTTTCTAAGAGGGGTATTATGTCTCCTGCAGGGCTTCAACGCATAATGTGTCCCATTCTGATTAGTTCCTGCTTGACCCACATGTTAAAAATATGGGTCTGTTCTGATCTCGCTTTGCCAGCCATGTCTGAACCTAGCTGACGGCATTTCACAGCAACCACGTTACCTACTAATCCATGCTTTCTCGTTATCCTTCTAGGCTATGAGCAGGGCCAGAGCTCACCGATCTCAGTTAGAGGACTCTGCTTCCGCCTTTAGTGCTGATGACTTCATGAGTGTGGATTTGGCAGAAGACATGGCTGCAGACTCAGATGATAGCATCTCAGCAGCAACCAGCAAAGGAAGAGGCCGGGGACGAGGTCGGAGAGGAGCAAGAGGGCAGAGTTCCTCATCGAGAGGAGGGTCTCAAAGAGGAAGAGGTAAGCCACAAGTGTTAACCTTTTTGCACATATTCAGATTTGGCAGTTGAGTGGGAAATACAGAAATGCATTCCTGTTAGAATTGAGTTCTAGATTTTAATTTCTAATACAAAATCTTTTATTTTAAAATTTATTTTTATAATGCATGTTGTTGTTGTTATGTGCTGCCCAGTCAGTTCTGACTCATCACAACCCTCTATGGTGTTTCCAGTGAGAAACTGTTGAGTTTGAACTGTTGGCCTTGCAGTTCAAACCAACCTTGAAGTCCAGTGCTTTTATCCTACAGTGCCACACCAGGACTCCTTTTAATGCATAGTCAGTCTTTAATGCGTTGCTGACACATCTTTTATTTAACTATGATTGGCAACGCGCACATAGGGTTTTAATTACTTTTGTTGCTGTCAAGTTGATTCTGACTATGGCAACCCCAAGTGTGCATGATAGAACTGTGCTCTATTGGGTTTTCAAGGTTGTGACCTTTTGGAAGGCAGATCACCAGACCTTACTTCCCAAGTGCCTCTGGGTGGGTTTCAGCTTCCAGCCTTTTAATTAGTAGACCAGTGCTGAACCATTTAACAAACTTGTTTTTGAAGAATTTCACTATCTTGTTTTTCACATCGTGGTAGTGGTGGTGTGCCATGGTTTCTAATCTAACTCCTAGTGATCTTGAATAGGGTTCCCAAGGCCCTAAATCTATGGGAGCAGAAAGCCTCATCTTTGTCCCGTGGAACAGCTGGTGGGGTTGATACTATCAATCGATCCTACTAAACCATGGACCTTGTGGTTTAGTAGCCCAATACGTAACCCAGTACGCCACCAGGGCTCCTGTAGAAATGAGACATTATGAGCTGTGTAGGAAAGTGGCTAGCTAAATGGCCACTGGCAGCAGGAAGAGAACCTAAGATCCTAAAAATTATTATTTTTTTGTATTGCCATAAGTAATGAGTGCCTCCACACTTAAAAGTGGCCCTGATTAAAAAGAAAAAAAAAATTTAAACAGAAAAACTGTTCCAGAACAATTTGATTTTTAAAAATAATCACTAACGTTAATTACCACTAATGTATTTAATAGGGGTAATTGTCATTGAATAGTCCAAATAATAGAACCTAGTGACTTCCTAATGTTTTATACAAATTCATCCCTAGGGATATTTTTAAATTGTTTTCAATAAAAATAGTAAAATGGATAGTGGTTTAGTTAAAAATCTCTGAGGGGAGAAATCTTTATCTTCCACACATAATAATTTTTATTATCCCCACATATACCAGCTTTTCCCTTAGATTTTAATTGAAACAAATGTAGCCTTAAGAATTGTCTCTGAAAAATTTTTGGCTAGACTTTCAATGTTTCTTCTTCTAGATAAATTTTTGTGTTTTAATATAGCTTTATTTAAATTTCATTTTGGTGTTGCTTTACTTATTAAAAAAAGCCCAAAGCCATAGCTCTTGGTGGAATTGTATATTGATTTTGCTCATCTTTTCTGACATTAGGCACCAGCCTGGAGATTTCTACTCGAGGCAGAAGTTCAAAGGCCACTACGTCATCATCGTCTAGAAATATGTCTATTATAGATGGTGAGTACAGGCTGCCAGTGATTAGCCAGCAGTTACTGATAATTTTCCAACCTAGGAATCCCCATTACCAAACCTCATTGGTTGTGTTGCCACCGTGGTGGAATTGAAAGTCCTGTTAATATTGTAGGATAATTTATCCCATAAAAAGTCTTTGCCATTTATCAAAGGTTGTAAAAGAGGAGCATTATGAAAAAAAATTTTTTTTTTCCCCCAATAATACTAAAGGCAAATTTGACTATTATTTTCCTCTTACAGATGGGTCACTAAGTTATAAAAAAGTGAGGCACTTGATCAATTTACAAACAATGATCCATAGAGAAAAAAAACTAGCTCTTAACATACTTATGTTCTCTCTCCATGCTACCTTCCTTAATCTCTACTGTTAGTTTGGAGAACTCATGTGAACAGTATTTAAGTTAAGAGGTATGTGACTTCAGCAGCAACCCAAGTAAAAAGGATTTAGGTCAGTGAGATAAACGGTTAACATAACTGCCCAAATCTAATGAAGTGTCTTAAGCTGTATTAATAGAAACAATTTGTCTCTACCACAAGTGAGTTTCCCCTCTCTGCTGACTTGGGACATAGCATGCCAAGAATATTGTGCTCATCTTTGGAACTGTATTTCAGGAAGGATACTAACAATAGATGATCATTTAAGAGAGACATGATATAATATTAAAAAAAGTGGTTGAAGAAGCTTGGGATGTTTAACCTGGGAAGGATTCAAGTCATTAAGTTCTGTAGCTTGAAAGATGGAATCACTTCGATTTGTATAAAAGCAGGATTTCCAATCTATTTTGGATCATACATTCTGTGTAAGAATCTGAGGAAAGCTGTGTCTATCCCCAAGTTGATGCAATTTGGATGTGATTTCAAAGGCTGTAGGAACTTCCATGGAGCCTATCCAATGGAAAGGAAAGAAGGGAGATGGAGCAGGGAGGAAAGAGATGCACAGCATGGTGTTTTGTAAAGAATACATGTGAACGTTTGGGTGAAGTGTCCTTGCATCCGCAACATGTTTTTAATCAGTTCAGGGAAAAGATATTTAAAGATAGTTCTATTTACCTCTTCTTTCAACTTATTAGGTTCCTAGCTTAAGGTAGAGAGGAAATGCTTTAGGTTCCCACTTGCAAACATAAAAACAACACTAGAACGACATCTCCTACAGCACTCTACTCAGCTGCGGTTGGTAATTGATTGCAGTATCACACAGAATTCAGGCACCATACTCAGAGTTAGGGTGTTTATTGGGGGAAGTTAACAGGTTATAGTTCAGGACCAGAAACGCTCAGGGCTTAATTTAAGTTCTTCCAGTCAGGACAAGCTCTTCTCAGCTGTACCCGTAGGCAAACTTCTCTCTGCCTGGCCAATGTTACAAAACTCTTTTTAGCGCTATTGATAAATGCCCACAGAACACACCACTACTACACCTTAAACCTTAACCCAAAGGCACTTGGCTCTAGTTCTGTGGGTCAGCAAACCTGTTCCCCTAATTCAGCATCCCATTCTGCAAGCAAGCCTCCTGCCCAGGGTCCCTCAGCTCTGCTTGCACCATGTCTCATCCTCTGACTCTTGGTTCTGCTGCTGCTCTTTCTTTGCCACTCTGCCAGGGTCACAGTATTCTTTCCCTAGATTGAGGAGCTTCAATGCGCAGGGATCCTGAGATCCAAAGAGCATGCTGGTTCTTCTTAGATGGTAATGAAATCCCCCATCTGCTTCTAAGATAGCTTATTTTATACCCAACAGGATGGCAGAATTGACCAACCACAATTAGCTTGTTAACAATCTTCACAAATGTATCATATAATCCAGCAACATCACCCCCACCTTCTCTTATCTAGACCCACCCATCAGGAAGGAGTCATTTGGTGGGAGTACAAGGAGTGTGGCTAGAAGAGACGTTAAATAATTCACTACATTGCACTGCCCTAGGGAGGCCCTGGACTATGGTGACTCTGCCCCTCACTACAGAACTGGCAAAGCTCTTCTTAGAATAGCTGTCCACATCAACAAGTGTTCTCTGATTAAAGAACTCTGTTTACCAACATTCTAGCTTGGCTTCAGATTTAGAGTGATTGCCTGCTATGTTATCAGTTCTTCAGTGCTCTTGAGAATTTGTTCTTTTTAATGTTTGATGTAGCAGTTCAGGTTGTTTTTAGCAGAAGTATTTTTCTGAATAACTTATCCTATAATGAACAAAAACAGATTAAATCCTTAATTTCTTGGGTTTTTTTTTAAACTTATGTGTGACTAGGACTCTAAGTCACATAAGGTTTTTATGAGCATTTCTTTACCTTTTAACATTGTTGTTGTGAAGTGCCGTTGAGTTGGTTCTGACCCATAGCGACCCTGTATATGGTTTCCAAGGAGCAGCTGCTGAGCTTGAATTGCCGACCTTGTAGTTGAAATGGCTTTGCAGTCTGACGCATTAACCCACAGCGCCACAGCAGGACTCCTTCTAACATTAGCTCCTTACAAAATCACTGTGCCAGTGGCATTTTTTTTCCTTTAAATTTTATTTGTTGTTATTGAGAATGTACAAAGCAAAACATACGCCAGTTCAGGTTTCCATGTGTACAGTTTCATGACATTAATTACATTCTGTAAGTGGAACCATTCTCACCTTCCTTTATGGAGTTGTTCTTCCTTCATCAACTAACTGCCCCGTAAGGATCCTGTCTGCTCTTTTGAATTGCTCTTGTCACTTTGATCTCATGTAGACAGTTCTTAAAAGAGCATAATGCTCAAGGCAGAACTTTTTGACTACTTACGCAGAGCTGCTTGTTTCAAGAAGACTGCAAGGGATATTTTTAGTCTAAGGCTTAAAGGTGATCTCAGGGCAATAGTTTCAGGAGTCCGTCCATTCTTCATGGCTCTAGAAAGTCCAGAGTGCATGAAATGTTCCAATTCTGTTACATATTTCTCCCCTTTTGATCAGGGTTTTTCTATGGAACCTTTATCAAAATGTTCAGTAATGGTTGCCTGGCACTATCTAGTTCTTTCTGGTCTCATGGTAAAGGAGGCAGTTGTTTAAGGAGAGCCCTATTCCTACCTCTCCTTCTTCCTCTCTTGCTTCAGGTGAATAGAGAACAATTATGCCAATGAGATTTTCAAAGAAAATTCTTAACGACTACTGCTATGCTACTTGTGTGAAACAGAGGTATTGCTTGTGTAGAGAGGCACGAGACCAGTTACTGTGCTTTTCACAAGTTGGCTTGCCTGATCACCTTTGTAAGTGGTAGTGTTCTTCTGTGTAAAGAGGTGACGTAAGTAGACCACCTCTGAAAAAAGGCTTGGTGGTGTACTTTTGAAAAATCAACCACTGGAAATGCCGCGAAGCCCAGTTGTACTAAAACACACAGCAGTTTATCAGAAGTCAGAGTAGACTTAATGGCACCTGGAAAGAAAAAAACCAACCAAATCCGTGTGAAACTTTAGGTTTCAGGCCAAAATTTGATTGTGACACCTTTTTGTAGCGTAGACTTGTGGTTAAGAACTGGAACACTGGACTCAGACCTGGCTTAGTATGCCAGCTCTTCACCTGCAAGCACTGAGAGAAAAGGATGTGCGTCATTGTGGTTGTGTGACACAGCCTGACCCCTAGTGGACGTGTGAGAATGACTGAATATCAAATATGTATAGATTGTGTAGCATAAAGGTGAAGAATGTGGTTGGTTCTAAAGTGTGGTTCTTGGTTTTCATTCTGACACCTTGGTTTACTAGCTGTGGGTCTTCTAGCAGTATACTTAAGCTTTCTGTCTCTAAGCATCAATGTCCTTCTCTGTAAGATAGGGAATGATTGCACCTACCTCACTTGAGTTATACTGGAGGTGAATGAAAAATTGCACATGAAGTACTTGACATAGTGTCTACATATTAAGTTAAACTCTACGTATAAGTATAAACTTAGTTCCTATTGTTAAGCTGTGCATTCATGCACCAGACTGCAAAGTCGTTTTGAACCACCAGCCTTCTTCAAACCAACCTCTCGGTCCAGTGCTTATTCTCCAGTTCCACAACAGGACTCCCTGTAGCTCATCAGCCCAATGCAATATGATGTTTGATGTCTTGGTTAAAGTTTCCATGAGGGTTGCTATTGGATCCAAATAAAAGTGAAATCCTTGACAACCTCAGTCAAAAAAAAAAGGATTTTTGTTTCCTTTACACTGAATTGTGATCCATACTGAAAGCTGTATTTGATCTTTATCAGTAAGTACTTAAAGTCCTCTTCACTGACAGCAGGCAGTGTTATGTTATCTGCATATCGCAGGTTGCTAATGAGCCTTTCCTCAGTCCTGAGTCCACATTTTTCATACAGTTCAGTATCTCAGATTATTTGCTCAGCATGCAGATTGAATAAATTTAGTGAAAGGATGCAATCCTTAGGTACCTTTTTTTTTTTAAATGTTTTATTGTGAATTATGTGATAGTTTACATGGGAGAACATTAGCTTTACATTCATCCTGTCTTATCGTTTCACTGCCATGATTACAAT